TGACATCTTCACTAATGATCAAGTGACCACAATGAGCATTGTGAACATTTCTTTCTTTTTTAATTTAACACATGAGGAAGTCTATAGGCATCTTATACAAGTCCATGTTTTGTTTGTGTGTCATTAAATCCGGGATTCAGGGGTCTTCACTCATAATCCCCAAATCAGTGCCACTGGCTCAACTGACTCCTTCAGGACTTCGCCCTCTAACACATCTCTACTTTTGGCTTTGATAAAGTGAAGATATTAAGCAATACACGGGATATAATACAAACAATGACACAGTAAGATGTAAAAGCTGGAGGTGTCAGTATATAATACATAATATTAAAGAAGTGCAAGTCTAATTCTTAGTCTCCCAGTAATCACTTGATTCACTGCAACAACAAAAAAAGAAGTGAAATTAAATAAAAGCTGTTAAAACTTTCCAAGTATTCGCATCCCCACCATTGAAAATACATGAACTGGGTTGAGTCAAGTCATCAAAGAGTCCAACACACCACTGGCGCAGTGCTGTTGTTCCACATTGTAATGGGATATGACAGGAGGGTAATCTTTGGTTCAGTCGGATACACTGCAGATATTTGCCTTTAGATGAAACACTTGAGCAGAGCTTAGCTCATTCGTTACACTGTAAAAGACTGTGGTCAAGACTAATAGACGCTTTCCTATGGGCAGGGCCGCCTCTCATTAAGCCAGGTAGTAGCCCAAAACATTCCTCCATGCTGATTTGCCCAGTGCCACTGAAAGGTTGTACCAGTCATGCCATTTTTTTTTGAAGTCTGCTGCCACATGTGATGTGTTCGAAATGGCCCAGACTGTTTTGGTTTCAGAAATGCTCAGCAAATCTCTGCTGTGCACACATCCAGCGTATGATCCTCAGTATGTCGAGCAAGTCTGGGTTTTCATACACTGAGATGCCAAAAAAACAGGCTCTGCAAAGATGGAATGTCTCTTTTATGTGAAATTAAATAAGATCAGCTTGTGGGCCTCTCTCCTTCCTGTTCCGCTTTCCGTTTTATGTTCATTTCCATTCCCGAACAAAGCCGTCTCTCCACGGTGTATTAATGCCCATCAAAGGCCTCAAACAAGTTGCTTTGCCACAGGCTAAAGCCAAACTGGAGAGACTAAAGTTTAATGTTGTCAGTTGCAGCAAGGATGTGGGCTCATGTGTCTTCCGCGTCCTTGTGTTTTCTTTTAACCCCCATATTCGCAAATATCTTGCAAGTCCGATTAATGGAACAAGGCGTCTGAAAACAGCACACACTGAAGGGCCATTTCAAGGTCACTGACCGTGACAACAGTCTTCCTCATTGTGCCCCACGAACAATGTCTGTATGTATTTCACTGAGAGGGGAACATTTAGAAAGTAAAACATAATTACACAGGGCTTCCTAAACATTTAGTCAAGGCTGAGAGTCAATGGACTCTTAGTTTAGAAGGATCCGGCAATGAGAAATATTTAGGAAGAAGCTCTCGACTGTCTGCTGACATTTTCAGTGAAATACTGTGCTTTGTATAAGTCTTGATTAAACTTCCCTTATACGTATATTGTGTGCTCTGAGTAGTGTATTAACAGTGTACGTAATTAACAGCAAGGATTCATTTTACAGTAATAGATTTTATTTTCTCATGCTTCTCCTCACTGAACTGTGAAACTTAAGATATGAATTGTAAGCATAAGAGATGCAAAAATACTAAAATGTATAAGCAAGAAGACGTTAGTCTCCATCCCAAGCAGTTTGTCTTTCTGCTGCCAGTGAATATATTTGTATTTATAATAAAATGTAATAACATATATAATAGATTGCATGTGATCCTTATTAACCAGCCAATTTAGACCAGTTGTCTCTCCACAAGAGAATAAATACAGACAGTCGAATCAAATGTATGATTGTACTTGACTCTTGATCACTACAATCTGTGAATTTAAATATTTAACTTCTGCCATCAATGGTGACTTCTTCCTACAGCATTATGGCAAAATATTTTACTTTATAAAGACAGAAGCAACTTGTATTTCTGGAAGTAAAATATGATGCCAGTGCTTTGAGTGTGTGTGTGTGTGTGTCTGTTTCTAATGCTCCCTTATTCACTGCAGGTGGACCTAACTGTTAAGGGGAAGCTTTCACTCACTACGTCAGAAAAGACGAAAATAATTTTTCAATAGTGAGAAACTCTCTCTCACTCTCACTGTAGAGTCTGTGCAAAGTTCTCATAATAAATCAATTACAGTTAGTAAAACTCGGGACACTTTTCCTGTGAGATACAAGGAGATCAGTTCAATTAATGACCTTACAGCTCTGGTGTCTGGTGGTGAACTAAAAGTCTGGGCTGAACATGAAGCACGCCAGACAAAATGCTGCAAACATGAAGCACTATTGATTTACATTGTAGAAATCACAAGAGTACCCATCTCACTGAATCTGTGAAAAGATTATTACGTTTCAAAATCATGACCTAACATCAGCTCGCTGCTAAGAATAGCACAGACTGAAGTATTCTGTTTCAGCAGGTTGAAAACTCAGCTAAGTAATCATTATGTCTGGTTCACTGCCATGAATCATGCTGCTGACATACGGAGAGAGAGAGTTCAAAGTAATTCGATATTTGTTTGACTGTATTAGATGAAACCTAAAGTGTTGTAAAGTCATATCTGTCCCCCCTTGAGACAGGCAGTTTGCAGCCGAGTGTGTTCAAGGTTTTCAGAGCAATTTGCGCATATTACAAATAAAGGACACCGTTCAGCCTGACCGATTTCATTTGAAATCCAATCATTTGAGTTCTTTTTTAATTCCCCTTACACGAGCGCCTATATGTGCGCATGTGTCCACCATGTGTGCATGACTGTATGAATATGTTTGTGTGTTTAGCAGTATGTGCACACTGTGTATAGTTTCTAGCTACAGACATTAACTGACCAGGCGATTAGGCAAAGAAGGTCACACCTGCAGCAAAAGATGGACCAAACTGAGTGATGCTTATCCCTAATTTTGTCAATCAATTTTTTTTAAGTTAAGGAAAAAATGTTTGTGTTTCTGAAAATGTATTCAAAGTTACTTTAGGTTACATTTATATATATATATTTTTTTTTTCTTAGATCTCAATGCACCATTCAAAAGATAGATTTCTTTGTGAGCATTGTATTTTTTCTTTTAAACATTTAATTAAAAGGGTTGTGAATATACAGTAGGCCGCCTGTCATAATTACTTTTCAAGCAAAAAATGATGCATCACACTTTGGTGTATTATTGAGCTTGTGCAACACAACCTGTAAATTGCATGATACCCCAGCTCACAACACAAGCATCTCTAATAGCAATATCAAAAATAAAATTGGCCTTTTAGGAAACTGCAATATTGGGAAATAATTCACTTGAAAATGATATGTCTTTGAGGGACAAAAACAACACTATCTTTTGTGCATAACTAGTGGTTTTAAGGCATCCTTACTGTGTACTGTATGTTTTTCAACATGTAATTAACAGGTAAAATACTTTGTATTGAATTAAATTGTATTGTATTGAAAATATATTGTATTAGGCATGTTAAGAACTTGTGGATCATGTAGAAAGTTATGTTTTTACAGAGGAATATGTTGTTAGGGTGAGGTAATCAGCAAAGAATTACACAAAATTGTGATTTTCGTACACGTGAAAATTGTAAAAAATGAATTCCAATATTGTCAAGTCAAAAGCACACAGCACCATACCATGACGGTAAATAACTATGATCCTATGATGTCATGTATTTATGCAAATTGCAAGTAATTGCAGTAGCAATCACTGCCATTGTTATTGTCGACGGGTTTCTAGTATTCTAGTATGCCCACGAATGAATTACCTTGACGTTCTGTTACGGGGGGCTCCACTCGTTCAGACTCTAAACGACGATCGGGTGGCCTTTGGCTGCACATAAAACAGGATTTACATATAACTCAGTAAAGACAACAGACGGCTCGCTGTAAAATAATATCCATCATCTCATCTCATAAAGATTATATGTAGTGCAGTAGGCTGTATTTCTCAAGAAAAAACAAAGATGCAAAATTAATAATCGAAGTCTCAAGTAATTAAAATTAGATTATCTGTTGAATATAATGAGCCTGGACGCCAACACACATAGGCTAATCGTGTGTATTACTTTAATTTGAGTAATCATAGGCCTTATGCTATTTTTATTCTGAAATCATTAGACATGTAAACACGTTCATTGGTTCTTCAAGTTAAATTGGTTTTAGATCAAGATGTTTTGTGGTTGAAATAATGAATCAGGATGCAAGTGAACATAGAATTCTTTCAAAGTAATAAATGAGGCATTAAAAAGTTATTAGAAACTTTTAAAAACAAAATCACTTGTATTCAGAAGCCGCAGCTGGCTTGAACACAATCGGCCGACTATGGATGATTTGCCCTTGATGAACCATCGCGAATGAAGCGTAAAATTGTGCCTTCTCCGCCCCAGTACCATCACTGATAGCCTATATTCATATCCAAATTGCATTAATGTCATGTGTAAAGCCCCCGCCTCTATTTTGCAGCCTTTTTTTCCTTCTTTTTTTTTCAGCTAATAAGCGACCTAACTCGGTCATGTCATCAGCACTTGGGAGAGGTCTTGAGGCCAGGAGATCTGGGTCCTATCCTCTGAGGAAAGAATGGGTTTGTGTAACTCTGCTCAAACCTGAGGGGGAGTTTGGAGTGTTTGGTCAACGACAGTGGTTCCTGGAAAAGATCTGAATCGTTTTATAACCAAACCCAGCTGCGGTCTGGTGTGTGCTGCAGTCTCTGCGTGCATGTGTGTGTGTGTGTGTGTAGGTTCATCTGTCTGTATGAGGTAGAGGAAGAGGTGGGGGTGTCTGCACTTCCCTCTCCAAGCGAGAGAGAGAGAGAGAGGGGGAGAGAGAGAGAGAGAGAGAGAGAGAGAGAGAGAGAGAAAAAAAAGTGAAAGAGCGAGAGAGAAAAAAAGTTTGGTATTTTTCTTCACTTCACTGTTTTTTAGGCATGAACGCCGAGACCTGCGTTTCATACAGCGATATGACATCCATGGATTCATATTATAGTCCCTCTGCAGCGCAAGGTAGGGATCACCAGACGGACCACTTTAGGACATTTCCAGCCACTGACACCAAATACAGCCCCACTGCCTTCCTGCCCAACAAAGGTCAGGCTTACGGAGAAAAGTCCCGGAGCCACTTCCAGCAGGAGTGCCAGTCATTGGACGCCTCCACAGCTGGGCACGGCACTTTCAGCAAATACCACCTCTTCATGCAGAGGTCTTCTTGCAAAACACCCCCCGAGGAGGTCAAACTGCACCAAGAGAGCGGGCACAACGGAGCGCTCATCCCCTGCTATGGTGAGTGGAAAAACAAACTTTCAGATGATTCAGTAACAGCAGTCCACTTGGCCAGGTGAGGCTTCCCAACACAAAACACGAGTCCAGAATTGAATTTGCGAAGCTGTTCTTCATCCGCAAAAAGAGCGGAATTGCCACGAAATATGCAGCAGAGATGTTTGATAGCAGCTATGTAACATTCTATTTAGCGACTTGTCAGGATGTTTTCTCTGAGCACTTTAATTACTTATACCTGTGCAGATAATTCTAACGTCACTGATCATTGCTCCAATTGTTCCCACAAAACCCGCCGACATAGACCACAGTGGTTTGGAAGTTTCAATGCAATTAATATAAGATGAACTTGCCATTATGGTCCCGTGTGCGAACTGACACGGCGTGTCGTGTGTTTCATCCGCAATTCTCTCTTCTGATTCAGGCGTACAAAACTATTTCAGCAGGTTTGGTGCAAAAAAATCCTTTGTTTTATTTTCTTCTTCCTGTGTCCTGTGAGATGGGAAACCTCCTTCGTGCGTAAAACGCAAACTTCTCTTTCCAGCTGCAGCACGCGGGGCATCAGCTCGTCTTGAAACGGCCCAGCAGTTATGTGCGTAACACAGTTAAGAAGAGGCATGATCCTCCCGACCATCAAATGGTCTCTTTGGTCATCAAAATTAAATTAGGGCGCTTTTAATGCGATAATCTGCATTACAATCCTTAATATTGGAGATGAGTCGGAGAATTAAATTAACAGGTTTTCAGATGGCACAAATACTGAGCTCCAAACTGATAATATTTACATGTCTTTGCTTTGCCTGATTGGCTCCAATTAGATTTAATTGCGTAGGGACTCTACTGTAATGGGTGAATGATGAGGGGGTAAATAAAACTTTGACCCTCGTTAGGCAGGCGGCCACTTTGAAGCAGCATTAACTCCTGTGTATTTTCCCCACCTCATAACCATTTCCCCCCGAACCGGAAACACGCATGATACCATAGAGACAACTATAATGTTAAGAACCAAAAACAGGCGTCAAATGCTTTTGGTAAATTAAAACGTGGACACACTGATTCGATTGGTTGGTCCATAACCACATATCTACCTTCTCATAAAGGATAACACACACACACGCGCGCGCACACACAGACGAATTATATCTGATATCATGACAGTAAATCCTCTGTATTTGAATCCAAATGTAAGTCTTGAGCTTTGGCCCACAACTTGAAACTAATAAAGCGGAAACACCGATAGTTTTTTATTACAAAAATCAATCATGTCAAATCTTTCTTCTTTACACTGAGTTGAAAAGAGACGCTCTGAACGTTTCATTTTGAGGTTATGGGCAGTACTAACATTGTACAATTATTGTGAATAAAGTCACAAAGCACGATGGCTCCAGCTCTTTCGGCCTCTCTTCCTCACACTTCCTCACATGTAAAGTGTGTAAAAATGTATTTGAGTTACATGTGAAAATAATCCACTGATGAGTATTGTTGTAAACGGTTCAATCAACTTTGTCTTTTCAAAATATCAAAACTTAACAATTGATGAGCATTTTTTGCTGTCTGTGTGTGGAAGTGCAGAACCCCAAACAAGTTGAAATCCCAATTTGTAAAAACAGTATATACAGCAAATTGTCGGGCATTTTATATCATTTGTAATAATAATAATAATAATAATAATAATGGAAGGCCAAAATATTTTACTCGTCGCTTTTACGCATGAAGTCAACACTCTTTTTTCTTTTCCTTACTCCAGCTGCTTGTCCATCAGTATTACATTGAAATGTTTAGTGCAGTCGTTTCAGGATGTTTTGACAGTTTTGGGAAATCGGCCAGCAAAAATAGCCTTTACATCTCCAAGATCAATCTTTTCAAAAGTTAGTCTTTTTTATAATGTCTGTAAAGTTTTTATTAGCTATTAACCTTGACATATCTGCGAAATCGAGACGATATAAAATTGTTATATTGAGTTGTAAATAAAGCGCAGTTATTATGCTGTGAGTAAACTGCTCTTTTAGTCCAAACCATGAAGACAGACAGTGGCAAACGAATTAATGTCCCAAAAATCGTCTTTTCAATTTCTATTATTTTTTAGAATTTGCATTGCTATTATTATTATTATTTCACGCTCAACCTGGAGATATCAGATCCTGTCCGCTACATTACATTTCTGGACTTATTTCGATTTTTTTTTCTTGCTTCTTTTTTTTTCACGTTAGACTTTTAGAGTAAAATACAGCTTAGCGCAGGTTGTCAGGTTTACTCGCAAACCAGGCAATCTTATTCTTACAACACGGAGACTTAAATATAATCACCGGATTCATTGCAGGAAAAACATCCCTGCGCTCATAGACAAGAAGAGCTCTGGCATTAATGCGACTCAGATGTCAAACTTCTCTGTTTGCCTTTATTTCCTGCTCACAGTGACTTGGCCCTCAGAGACAAATCTCCTTTAACTCTTCAGACTTTGAACAGGGGAGTTTTTATACATACAAATTCATGTGTTTATCGTCTTATCTCATAGCCTAGCTACATCACTTTAAAGATGTATGCAAAGATAGAGTATTTAAAAAGAACTAGATAGTGTCTGTTTTCCTTGTGAATATCACAGACTGCAAATTCTAGTTAACCCATCATTTTACAGACTTCTACACCACTAACTGGACGTAAATTGAAGGCAGCAGTAACATATACTGAAGTTACAGAGGAGAAAAATGATAAATGGTTCCTGATGTGTTTATTGGAAAATGCTGGTGTATTTTACTCCCTGAGTCATTTCTTTAATCAAACCTGTATTGTACACAATGGCATGGTAGTTTCAAGTTTCAGAAAATGACTTTGTTGTTATAATTTGTGGCTTTATTCATTCAGTAAAAGGTGATATGATGACTGGTCTCAGGGCTGCCTGAAGCTGTGACTAAGACATTGTTGGACGATGAAAAACAACATGTCTGTCTAATAAACATTTACACAAATTAGAGTCACTACCAACACAGTTAATTGTATACTCAACACATTGCCATTTTTGTTGGTACCTGAAATCAACAAGGCAGCTGTTGGAGCATGGACAGGCTGAGAGCCGACAGCATCCAACTGAAAGAAACTGCATGAAAATGTGTGAGGATATTTTTAAAACTGTCTTACAACAACAGTAGAGGTACATCCCCAAAATGACAATAAACAGTGGTGGAAGAAAAGCTCATGCATTTCCTTAAACGTAGTAATACAACAATGTCAAACTACTTTATTACAAATAAAAGTCCTGCATTTAACATTTTACAGAAATATTATCAGCAAAATGCACTTAAATAAAAAGTTAAAGAAGTCATGCAGGGTACCCGTACTATTGGTATTAGCAGCATTTCAATGTTAATGCAATACTGGGTTTAATCTATAAAAGCACAAAATGTTTTATAAACTCATTATATCTTAATCTGCAAAGTCCCTAGTAAATATAGCTGTCAAATAAATGCAGAGAAATACAAAATACAATATTTCTCTCTAAAATGTGGAAGATTCGCATAAAATGGAAATACTTCAGTAAAGTAAATGCGTCAAAGGTGTACTGAAATCAAACCTTGTTTTTAGGTGTATAGAAAGTCATGCAGGTCACCAAACAATGAAACTTTTACTGTATCGATTTGAAAACAGATTGAAAAGGCAGGGCACTTTATAGCCTCAGAGCAGCCACCTATACACGTCTTTGTGATCCTCCAGAGACAACAATCGTCTTCTTTTGATGTGTCCGTGTCGTCCCTCCCTGTCTAAAGGTGCTGACCTTTAGCTCGGCTGTCCTGCCCTCGTCTGTTTGGAGAGGACAAGTTTCATTGCACACACACACACACACACAGCAGAGAAAATCCATTCGTAACCCTCTACATGAAACCCTCTGGTGTCAAAGTTGAGGGCATCGCAACATTTGGAGTCCAGTTTTACATGGTAAACATTTAACTACACTAATAAGACAAAGGATCTCACTTTGATGATGCATGTTGTAGGCAATTGTAGGCCTAATTATGGTGGTATCGTGCCTTTTATCGCTTTTTTTTTGTCTTTTACAGCCACTGATTTTGCAGAGTAATGACATCTTCGCACCAATAACACACTGCTGGTGAAATTTGAAGACATAAAAGGCTGCAGTTTAGTCTGACTTAAACCAAGATTTATTTTTTGTGGCAAAGCGAGAATACAATCCAGTTCTGCTGCCATGCAAGTGTAAACATTTCATGACATCTATATCCAGTAGGACCAACGCTCAGGCGTGATAGTTCTTCAATCTCCTGCCTTTTTGTTCCCTCACCATCTTCACCCTAGCACAACCATTTTAGCCTCTCGTACTGGCCGTGTGCGTAGATTGGCTAGACCAGGGAGTAATGGGAACCAGCCATGCAGCCCAGGCAACTGTGGCACACTTCAGCAAGTCAATGACATGAGTGGAGGTGACAAGGACTCAGGATCATTTTACCATTTAGCTTTAATTTTGGCAGGGCAATTTACATTAGGCTCAGTGTGCATGGCCGAGCGAGAGCAGCGGGGCAAAAAGGCCGATGCAGTCCAGCGCTTCATTTGGTCTCTTTATCACCGCTTCATGTAAACTGAACACTTCTCCAGGACCAACCGTGAAGGACTGCATCAAGGCTGCACATCAGAGATTCAGTGTCCTTTTCTTTTACCTGTTGTGTGTCAGTATAGTAAGGGGACTTTTTTCGCTGCACTCACTTGACTTGAATTTCTCCTTGCAAGGATAATTGTTTGTATATTCTCAACAGCTAGTGCCGACCATTTTGTGGTATCACCTTCTTGTGTACAGTCATGTGGCTTCAACGGTGTTGTGTCAAAAACTAGCGTAAAGATACTGCCTAATTGCTAGTTTTTAGGAGAGAGAAAGGTTTTAATATTTAAGCTAATTGATATTTGAAACTCTGATATCTTTTGAAAAGTTGAATAGTTACTCACTTGGCCACGTAAAGTATGATTTAAAATATATTTCAAATATAGACAGATATAGTAGAAAT